TGTCACTTCTATACACAATCAAATTTCAACTTGTAGCGGCAAAACAAAGCTAACAAAGTGAATATGTTACTCATTTGATGGCTTCTACACAATCAACCACTCTTGCTGAATAACATAAACATCAAAAGTGCTTTTTCAACAACTACACAACCTGTACTCAGCTTATAAACTGTGTTAGAGCAACTTCGGAAGCATTTTCACAGTCAACTAGGTTTATTTTTAGACGTGTGCAGTTTTACAGCTTTTACTCTGCTCTTTTATAACTAGTCGAGAAAAGTGATTCGTGTGCACTATTATAAAGCCTCTACTCAGCGATTTTGTTTTAGAAGGGAATGTTGATTTGTTTACATAAGTTCAAAGTGTTGGCGTAGCGAAGTTGGTAGTGTCAAGGTTTGTCAATGAGGTCGTCTCGAGTTCGATTCCAGGTTCCGGTGCAGGGTAAATGATGATTTGTAATTAATTTCGATTAATTTGATTCACAGAAAAATAAACTCAATAAATTGCTTTTTATAAAAAAGCGTAAACAGTATTTAACCAGGCTTCAAGAGAAAGCTGTGTAGTGATTATTGGATAACCGGGAAAAGGTTGAATAAGCGCCTTTCAAGTTCACACACAACTAAACAGCAGGATAACAGCTGTATAGAAGCGTTAATGGATATCCAATAAGAGCTTCTCCCGAACGTTCCAACAGCCATAAGTAGCTGAGTAAGTTCGCCAGATTTGCTTGTATAGAGGTTGAGTAAAGGTTTCTTCATATCGTATAACGTTTGAATACAGCTTGAGGCTGTATACATGAAATGAGTAAAGCGTTTACGTTGTGAAAATTGTTATTTGGGCAGATTGACGTCGTTAAAGTACAACAAGAAAATCAACGGGCCTAGGTGACTTCCTTGAGGTATCACTGACGTAGCAGACTGACATTCACTAACGGCTACCATCAGCTGGCGATCACTGAGATAAGAGCGAAACCATCGCAGGAGGTTGCCATTTACCCAGAGTCTATCTAACATAGCAATCGCAATCAATCATTTTGTTAAGCTTCTACATTCATGTTCCAATAGATGTCACTGCTGTTGTTTGCAGTGACATGTATCGGAAACTACACATAATCTGTTTTCCGTCAATTGTTCACAGAGGACAGTGCAGTGCAAATCATGTCTGGTTCCTCTATATATGCATTTAGATTAACATCCAAAGTCCCTCCTTTTTTACACATTCTGCACACAAAATAGCTCACCCCTCACAGAATTTCCCGACGATTTTAATGTATGGGGCGGGGCAGAAAGTATCTTCTGTGCAGAATATGTAAAAAAGGAGGGACTTCAAATGTTAAACTAGATGCATGTATAGAGGTACCAGGCATGTTTTGTAGTATCAGGAACTCTATTTTGTAATCTGTGAAAGGGAAATCACAAATCGAGTGTCATCAAAATACATGGCATGTTGAGAGATTGAGCTCGTAAGAGAAAATTTTCTCTCTCAAATTTGAATTTGTTGGCTCTCCGGGAACTGGTAGTAAAGCAGGTAAAACTGTATGGGGAGAAATCATTTTTTATTTAATTGTAGCTTGTTTAACAATAATTTCCGGGAAAAAACTGAACTAATTTCTTTAGACTGTCGTTCATTTTTTTTGACCTGAATATACACCGAAAGCGAATTATTTCCACTTCTCTCAATTTCTATACAGGGATTTTTATCACTTCCTACCAGCGTAACAGCGCCATCTCTGTGGAAAATGGCGGGACGATATGATTAATTGCATGGTTCAGTTTATCGAATGCAGCTGACAAGTCGGTGTAAATTACATCTGTTTGAGCCCGTTCTGTCGTGCTTTCCGTGACATACGGTGTCAGACAAAGTAGATTAGTGGTAGTAGAACGACCGGAAAGCTCTGAGAACATCAGGACATATAAATTGAAGGAAATTTCTGAACCTTTAAATGAGTTCCGAGAAACTCAGGGAATTTCCGTAAACTTCAGCAAATTTCCGAGAGATCCATGAACATTTTGGAAACGTAAGGGAAGTTACATGAACATTAGAAAATTGTGAGAACATTTTAAAGGAAATTCTGTGCTTTTATCGGTAGTTTCGAGAACTTGAAAAAAAAATTAAATAAATCGTGAAGATCAGAGGACTTTAATGCTGCTGTTCATTAATTAAAAAAAAATAAAGCGTAAAGAAGATCCAGTTGCTTTAAGAGAATCGAGTTTTTCCGGTAATTTCATAATAATCAGGGAAGTTTCGAGTACTTCGAGGATGATCAGAGAACTTCAAAACAGCCCCACTAACTTTAGGAAAATTGCAAGAACTTTCAAGGAGTTGCGAGGAATTATGGGATATTGCGAAGTGCAATTCAGGAATGTTCCGAAAACTTCAGGGACATTGTGGGATTTTCATAGATGTTTTATTTATTGAAAGTTGCTGGATCAATAAAGCATGTGAGGAACTTCAGGGAATATTGTGCTAACATCACACAGAAATCTATTTCTTCCAGACATTTTCCATCTTCTCCTTGAAGTATCTTTCGACTGTTCCGTAAACCCTATGGCGTTCAACTTTTTTCAGAAATTTCTTCCAATCTATCTTAGGAAGTTTCTGCCGTCTTATCCAGGAAGTTCAATTAAAGTTCTACCGGATGTATCTATCAAGTTCTCCCAGAAGTTTCTTTCATCTTTCTCTGGAAGTTTCTCCTGACTTCTCCTGGAAATGGCTACTCCGGAATTGGCTTCCGATTTCCAAACTTTTCTGGCACCTGGATTTTTCCGAAAATTTTCTAAAAAAAATCCAGAAGTTTCTCAATATTTGTCTTGGAAGATCCCCATCGAATGTTTTTCCGACATTTCTTAGAACTTCCTTCAAACTTCCTCCACAAGATCTTCTTTATTCTTCCTCTGGAAGTTTTGTTGGTACCATTAAGGGACAAATTCAAATATTTCCAGAATTTTTTTCAGACTTACATGGAAAGTACATCATTCGATTTTAGTCCAAAAGTGTGAAAAAATATAAAATTAATTAAAATAGTGAATACCGATAAAAACCGATTTTTTAATCATTTCATACCGATTACCATAAAAACAATCTGGCAACGCTGTCTCATGTAGCAAAATTGGCAGGTATTATGTGTCAAACAACAACTTCACAATCTTTTCTGTTGCTTACACAAACATAATATCAAGAGCAAATTTTCATTATGTCGTAAGTAACATTCGCACCGATCCGAGAAAAATAAAGTTTTGTTTTGATGACCGAAAAGTTATTCCTATTTCCGATAAAACACATATAATCTCATAGTGATAGCAATGTTTAACATATTTAGCCGGGTTTTAATCATACAAAGGCAAATCGCTAGCTTTCATGCTAAGAAATACTGGTTTTTGAGTCAAAAGTTATTATACGTCGTTTGGTGGCCCCTATTGTTACTTAAGTCAAAGTGTATTTACCAGGATATTCGGGAGAATTATCAATTACGTCTCCTTACGTGCAGCCCATTCATCATGTTACGACCACCGAATTGATCTTAGCAACAAACAGTTCGATTTATTCACTTTAATAATGAGAAAGCGAAACGACGAAAGTACACTTTTCATGGGTTTCTCAGTGCTGTTACTTAAGGCAAACGGCATCTCCATAGAAATTGGGTGACTTAAGTAACATCGAAAACTGTTTTGATCGGAAGGTGATTACGTCAAAAAGCAATTCGACTGGTAAATAAATTTAAAAATGGGATGTGATCCTATATTCGGACAGTATATAGTGTAATAGCAGGAGCATCGATTGACACTGATAGCTCGACTTTGTTTACCTTTATTACATTCGACGTAATGAAAATTTGCTCTTGATATTATCATAATATCTTATTATTCCATAATTTCATAAAACATTTCTATAGCCAAAATAAATGGAAGGCACCCTGATTTGAAGTCCATTAAACTTTTCAGAACATTGAAGCTAAACGAACTTTTATGAAACGAAATTCCCTTCATTTAAACGAAGTTTCCCAAACTTCTATAAGGTTCCCAGTTGCATGAAGTTTTGCCAAAAATCCTAAAAAATACCCAAAATTTCTTCGATTGTCTCTGAATTTATTCTCTCCGAAATTCTCCGATGTAGCATAAATTTAAATTTTCAAGGTTTAAATTTCCTGAAAGTTTACTGAATAATTTTAGTAGTCGTTCGTTAACAATACGGCCATGAATAGAATACAACCACTATCCGTGAAAACAAATGTTAACCTTGTTTCAAACAATAGCCTTTAACACTGACAGTAAAAGAACAATCATCGTACCTACTAAAAGTGGAATGTATAATTTATACAACCGAAACACAACATTTTATGAATACCACTCAAAACAAACGCCCATATGTGACGCATGACGACAGTATAAAAAATAACGATGGGAGCTACCGGTTTGCAAACACAAACGATAAAGCAAAAGCACCTCAATGGCTGATCCTGTCACGATATCGAAAACGACATTGAAATCAAACAAACAAACACAAAACGGCAAGCTAAAATATAGGTGGTAATCCACCGACTATCCACCTGTGCGCAGCGAGCGAAAGGTGTGATCCCAATTTGTTTTCGTCGCATTGTAGTACTAGCTACATATAGGTATTTATTTACGACACCTCAGCGCGTGCCGTTGATTATGTGTTCACTGGCATCATCTGAAACGTTTGAAACGAATGAATGAAAGAAATCAGCACAACATAAATTTGTTTGATGTTATCGCATAAATTACACGTTGACAGATTGCCGATTCGAATGAACTGGGATCGACCAAAGATAGCGAATTGAGGCATTTTACGATTGTAACGATTTATGAGGTGTAAACCAACAGCAGCAGGCACGCATCAATTCATGCTGAAATACAGTATGGGTGATGAAAACAAAAACAATGTCGTTTTATTTATCGATCCTGGACAAGACGAACATGTGGACGTTTTGAATGATTTCAATAAAATGTTAATCAATTACCTATCTTTCGTTTCATTTTCAGAGTATCCCACTCGGCCATGGAAATGGAGCCCCGGGTGGCGATCCTTCAGGACCTCAAAATCCAATCCTTCGACACGATTCGCTTCGCCTCATACCGGACCGCGTGCAAGCTGCGATATGTTCAAAAGTCCACAAATCGTAAGTTCGACTTCAATGAATCAAACAAGCCCCCAACATGATATCCTTCCGCTTCCGCAGTGCACCTAGTGGACATCTGGAACGTGATCGAGGCGTTCCGCGAAAATGGTCTCAACACGCTCGAGCCCCAGAACGAGGTCAGCGTGAGCCGGCTGGAGACGCTGGTATCGTCGCTGTACCACAACCTCAACAAACGTCTTCCCCCGACGCAACAAGTTCCTGTCGATTCCAAAGCTAGTCTTCTACTGAATTGGCTGCTGGCGGCCTACTCCGGCGACAACAGTGGCAAGATCCGGGTCTTCTCGATCAAGGTCGCCCTCGCAATCATGTGCGCCGGCAAGATGGTGGATAAGCTGAGATGTGAGTACCCATTGTAAAGAATTCAATTTAGCGTTGAACTCCATTTAATTCCCTCACCCTCAGACGTCTTCTCGCAAATCTCCGACGGTGCCGGCCAGCTCATCCACTGGAAGCTCGGTGACTTCCTACGGGAAGTGCTGGCCCTGCCAGCAGCCGTCTTCGAATCCCCCACATTCCACTACCAGGAAGGGCTCGAAAGCGAAATCTTCGCCGTAGAGACCAAAATCACCGTCAACGATTTCATGGCAGTCCTCATGTCCGAACCGGGGCCTGCCTGTCTAGTGTGGCTCCCTCTGCTGCACCGGCTGGCCACCGTTGAAGCCGTTGTTCACCCGACCATCTGCTCCGTCTGCTTGCGGGAAAACTTCACCGGCTTTCGGTACCGGTGCCAGCGGTGTCATGCCTACCAGCTCTGTCAGGACTGCTTCTGGCAAGGCCGGGTTTCCCTGAATCACCAAAACGACCACGAAGTCAAAGAGTACTCCAGCTACAAGAGTCCCAGTAAACAGATTGGCCATTCGCTGCGCAAGAGCTTTCGCTGTGTACCGGAAAAGTCGAACCAGGTGCTGCCGAGGTTTCCCGAGCAACCGGAAAAGACGCTCAATTTGTCACACATTGTACCACCGTCGCCATTGCCGTCACACAATGGCTTCAGCGATGGCGGTATGATTCCCGGCATGTACGACCGGAGTAGCACACTGGATTCGAGGTTAGCTTTTATGGATTGCGAAGTAATTTCACGACTTTCTTATAATGATTTTCATTGCAGGGGAACCGGTCTATCGATGGACAGTAATGGCACCTCACTGACACGAGGTGGAGCCAACTCAAACGATGAAGAACACAGGCTAATCGCTCGGTACGCTGCGAGACTTGCTCAAGAAAGTCGGACGGTAAGTGCTTCGACGACCTCCGTGGAGGATCGTACGGCTTAACTTAAAATTCCATTTCCCCAAAACAGCCTGGCTGCTCAGCGCCAGACCCGGTCCAGATAGGACTGGACAGTTCCCGTGCCCAGCGGGAACTAATCCTACAGCTCGAGTCCAAAAACAAGGAAATCATGCGGGAGATTCAGAAACTTCGCCGGCAACAGGAAACGGAACAGGTGCAACCGGAAAGTCCAGCTCTGATGAACGAGCTGCGGGCACTACGGCAGCGAAAGGGTGAACTGGAGGGACACCTAGGCGCTCTGCAGGATTCCCGACGGCAGTTGATGGGCCAACTGGAAGGATTGATGCGAATGCTGAAGAACCACCAGACGCAGAGCCCTCGGTCGACGCCCAATTCTAGTCCGCGGTCGGGTAAGAGCCCACCGCTACCGCAAGGTATGCCATCGTTGTGCACCGTCTTCGAAACTCTAATCAACCCCATCTTGTAGGTTCCCAAATGCCGGGCCAGCCACGAGGACCCGGAATGCCTCCAAATGTGCCACCTCATCTGCAGCAAAGCCTACTGCAGCAGCAGCAGCAACAACAACAGCAACAGCAGCAGCAAATGATGCTCAATAGTCACATGCAGGAGCAGATGGGCCATCACCCGATGGACATGCGAGGTTACGCCCCCAACGGAAACAATAGTAAGTAGCGTTGAAATCGTTCTAACCGCTTAGTGGCTAGTTGGCTTTTCTTGAGTTTCTGTACAAAACAATGAATCCTTGGTACGATTGCGGCTTTCGCTTCCCGTGTAAATTTCGCTGTAATTAGTCAGTTTGCTACGAATAGAGAGAAAGAGAGAATGTCTATTGTTTCATACTAGCTTGTGAGACGCTTTCGGCGTGCGCTTGATTGACCAACGAAAAAACGAAACTCATTTCACTACATCCTGCGACCAAAAGGAATGAAGTCCGTTTATTCAAGTTTTTGGACAATTGGACGATTGGTTTTTGAAAACTTGAAGTTACGCGTTCAAGCAAATCTTAGAATACAATCTGTTTCTAGGATATTTGTTTAATTATAATATTTGAGGAAGTCCAACAGCTATATTATAAAGGAATCCTTGGAAAACTCTAAAAAGGTTTTCTTGCGAAATTCATGTTAAATTTCTGAGAAACACTTATGGGCAGTTCCACGCCAAATGACAAATCGGAAAAACTCGACGTTCTCCGATTTGCATAATTACGGGCAACGATTAACATTTTTGCTGAAATTCGGCCCTTATGGATCTTTTAAAATTTCCAAAATGGCGTTTTCGTAAACAATTACGCAAAGCTTCATACAAATCGGAGAAGGTCTATTCAAAATCAAAATTATGCCTGGAACTGCTCAAATGGTTTAAAATAGTGATTACGGCCTTTTTCAGCTACCCGGGATTCGGGAAACAACTGATAACTATTCTCACAGTTGGCTGCTGACTTCCCAGAAAGTTTGTTGGACGTCTCTCGCAACTTCCCTCGGTAGATTCTTCCGACTACTATCAGGAATTTTGTGCAACTCCGCCCGAACTTTCTACTACGTTTCCCGAAATTTTCTTTCAGCTTCCATAGAATTTTTTTACTTGTTCCCCCAGGATAGTTTTCATGACTTCACCCGGAAGATTTTACTTAGTTCTTCCGGAAGATTCCAAAGAGTTCCTTCTGACAGCTCCCGGAAGATTCTTTCGGCATTCCCCCAGAAGTGTCGTCCGACTATCTTCTGGTTCGAGAAGAATTTTCCAATTTCGTTCGAGAAGCTTTTCGCTCACTACCTCCGGAAACCCTTCTGGGAATCTGGCATCCGTTGGAAGATTATTTTGACTTTCATCCACACTTCCCCTGACGGTCGTTCAGACAGACTCGGAATTCAGCCGCGTCGATTAAATTTCGGCAAACTTGGCTCAAATAGCTTAGCAAATAGCTATGGGAAAAATTGATAGAGGTTTCACTCAACCTATTAGTATACTCCTAGAATGAGTAAAATTTTCATGGATTTTCCTCACGCTGAAAACGAATCTTACTCAGAGCGTGTGTCACTTTTACTCATTCGAATTGAGACATTTCTAAAAGCGCGTTTTTAGAATTTTTCCATATAAATGACTAAAAGTGGCTCACTCTCTGAGTTAGTTTCATTTTCTGTGCATATTCGAGAAGTTTTTCCTGTTTTCCTCGGATTTTGCTCGGAAAATTGAGCTCAATTTTGAGTAAATACACTTTTGCCGAAATTGAATCGACTCGACTCAATTTTGAGTTGGTCTGAACGACCGTGTAGGAAGTTTCTTCCTACTTCAAAATGAAGCTTTTTCCAACTTTCACAGGAAGTTTCTTTTGAGCTCTCCCAAAAGTATCTTTCCACTTCTTCTGGAAGGTTCTCCAGGCTTCGCCCAGAAGTTTTATCGGTCTTCTACAGGATGTTTGTTCCGAGGACCTTCTGGCTTTCCATGGAAATGGTTTTCGACTTTTTTGAAAGCTTTTCCAGCCTTTCTAGGAAGTTTCTACTGGCTTTTTTTGGAAGATTCTTCCGACATATGCTGTAACTTTCTCCCGGATTTCCCTAAAATACTTTCTGGCTTCCCCTGTATCTACCGGCTTTTCCTTGAGATTTTGGAGAATCTCCTCCGAGATTTCGGAGAATCTCCTCCAAGATTTCGCAGAATTTCTTCCGAGATTTCGGAGAATCTCCTCCGAGATTTCGGAGAATCTCCTCTGACATTCGGAGAATCTCCTCCGAGATTTCGGAGAATCTCTTCCGAGATTTCGGAGAATCTCTTCCGAGATTTCGGAGAATCTCTTCCGAGATTTCGGAGAATCTCTTCCGAGATTTCGGAGAATCTCTTCCGAGATTTCGGAGAATCTCTTCCGAGATTTCGGAGAATCTCTTCCGAGATTTCGGAGAATCTCTTCCGAGATTTCGGAGAATCTCCTCCGAGATTTCGGAGAATCTCCTCCGAGATTTCGGAGAATCTCCTCCGAGATTTCGGAGAATCTCCTCCGAGATTTCGGAGAATCTCCTCCGAGATTTCGGAGAATCTCCTCCGAGATTTCGGAGAATTTCCTCCGAGATTTCGGAGAATCTCCTCCGAGATTTCGGAGAATCTCCTCCGAGATTTCGGAGAATCTCCTCCGAGATTTCGAAGAATCTCCTCCGAGATTTTGGAGAATCTCCTCCGAGACTTTGGAGAATCTCCTCCGAGAGTTTGGAGAATCTCCTCCGAGATTTTGGAGAATCTCCTCCAAGATTTTGGAGAATCTCCTCCAAGATTTTGGAGAATCTCCTCCGAGATTTCGGAGAATCTCCTCCGAGATTTCGGAGAATCTCCTCCGAGATTTCGGAGAATCTCCTCCGAGATTTCGGAGAATCTCCTCCGAGATTTCGGAGAATCTCCTCCGAGATTCCGGAAAATCTCCTCCGAGATTTCGGAGAATCTCCTCCGAGATTTCGGAGAATCTCCTCCGAGATTTTGGAGAATCTTCTCCGAGACTTCGGAGAATCTCCTCCGAGATTTCGGAGAATCTCTTTCGAGATTTCGGAGAATCTCTTTCGAGATTTCGGAGAATCTCCTCCGAGATTTCGGAGAATCTCCTCTGAGATTTTGGAGAATCTCCTCCGAGATTTCGGAGAATCTCCTCCGAGATTTCGGAGAATCTCCTCCGAGATTTCGGAGAATCTCCTCCGAGATTTCGGAGAATCTCCTCCGAGATTTCGGAGAATCTCCTCCGAGATTTCGGAGAATCTCCTCCGAGATTTCAGAGAATCTCCTCTGGAATTTCGGAGAATCTCCTCCGAGATTTGGAGAATCTCCTCCGAGATTTTGGAGAATCTCCTCCGAGATTTCCGGGAATCTCCTGCGAGATTTCGGAGAACCTCCTCCGATATTTCGGAGAATCTCCTCCGAGATTTCGGAGAATCTCCTCCGAGATTTTGGAGAATCTCCTCCGAGACTTCGGAGAATCTCCTCCGAGATTTCGGAAAATCTCTTTCGAGATTTCGGAGAATCTCTTCCGAGATTTCGGAGAATCTCCTCCGAGATTTCGGAGAATCTGCTCCGAGATTTCGGAGAATCTCCTCCGAGATTTCGGAGAATCTCCTCCGAGATTTTGGAGAATCTCCTTCGAGATTTCGGAGAATCTCCTCCGAGATTTCAGAGAATCTCCTCTGGAATTTCGGAGAATCTCCTCCGAGATTTGGAGAATCTCCTCCGAGATTTTGGAGAATCTCCTCCGAGATTTCCGGGAATCTCCTGCGAGATTTCGGAGAACCTCCTCCGATATTTCGGAGAATCTCCTCCGAGATTTCGGAGAATCTCCTCCGAGATTTTGGAGAATCTCCTCCGAGACTTCGGAGAATCTCCTCCGAGATTTCGGAAAATCTCTTTCGAGATTTCGGAGAATCTCTTCCGAGATTTCGGAGAATCTCCTCCGAGATTTCGGAGAATCTGCTCCGAGATTTCGGAGAATCTCCTCCGAGATTTCGGAGAATCTCCTCCGAGATTTTGGAGAATCTCCTTCGAGATTTTGGAGAATCTCCTCCGAGACTTCGGAGAATCTCCTCCGAGATTTCGGAAAATCTCTTTCGAGATTTCGTAGAATCTCCTCCGAGATTTCGGAGAATCTCTTTCGAGATTTCGGAGAATCTCTTCCGAGATTTCGGAGAATCTCCTCCAAGATTTCGGAGAATCTCCTCCGAGATTTCGGAGAATCTGCTCTGTGATTCCGATTCTGCTTCACGTTGTTAATCGAACAACTACTCGCGAAAGTTCCATCCAACTTATGATATTTTGTTTTCCCAATTTACTCCAGAAGTTTGTTCCTTTTTTCTTCAAATATGTTTACCACCAGGGAAACGGATATTGTTTTAACTTTCTTACGTTTCTTTCGACTTCGCCCGGATATTCTCGGGGTTTCTCGTCTGGTGTGATCATTTTTTTTTTCTATGAAAATGCATTTTGTAAAAACAAATTCCTAAAGCAGTTCCTGGAAAACATATTGTTTAGCCAATTTTCTCAGGAATGGTTTCCCTAGATATCCCGGGTAGGAAACACCAGTTTCAAAACGATTTCAAAAATTCGCTTATTTTCTTTTAAATCGACTACAAAGAGCTAAATTGGTCCTAAAAATGCATCAATTTCATCAAGAAGACACCAAAATCGCCTTACAAACGCTAAGACCGTTCTGAAAATTATAACATAACTTCATAAATGCTGCAACGATTTCTAAAATGACAAAATCTCCAACATGTATCCTTTTATTTTAATCGAAGCAGCCACCGTCGTACTCCTTTCGTCCAATGAAAAAACCATTTTCATAATTACCCAGTTGTCACCTTTTGCAATCACATTAGCTGGAATATCCGGGGTCGCCACGCACCAAACAATAACAGACATAAATAATTATCATTCCCCCAAAACTCCCCCCTATACCCCCTTTACAGATGGAGTCCATAATCCAATGGGCCGACCATCGGGCTGCACCGGCGCTGGCACTTCCGGGCGGAACGATTTGCACTACGCGGCCGATTCGGTCTCGTCGGCCATGAGTTCGCTAGTGCGTGAACTGAATTCAGGTAGCTAGAGCATTTACAGTGTGGACACGACTCGACTCGTGGTTTTCCGTCCACGTCAGTGTCCATTGTTTACGTTTTGTTTTGTTCCGACACCAACTACACCCACCGGATGTTTGTCGAAAAATCTTTTCCGGAAGTTTTCCTCGTCCTCGTTTTTTGCCTCTCTGCACCAAATTTGGACAATTTCAGTACTTTTATAACAAACCAAAAAGAAGTCCAAGGCCAATTTTATCACTGCACATATTTCACCTTTCTATAGTTTAACGATAAAAAAAAGAAACAATTTGACCTCCATTTTCCGGTTAAGTAACATTTTTTTTTAGTTTTCTGTTGTCTTTTCTATCTGTCTAAATGTAACGTTAGCACTAATTGGTTAGATGTAGTTGCTCGATGTTCTTTTTGAATGGATTTAATAGTCTTTAATTGGTTTCGAAAATCCTTCACGATCAAATTTATAGCTAAACTACATAAAACTGTACCAAATCAAACAAAAAAAAACTCAATATTCTTCGGTATACGTAAAATTACAAACAATGCTTTGAACATAGAAAAACGACGCCATTTGACCTTGAACCGCAGCTTCCGGCAGTGTTGTAAACGCATTATTCATGTTTATGATTTTGCAGCGCCTTCTTGTTTTCATCATTTTCGAAACATTCATCCCATGTTGCAAAAATCGAATCCATTGTTGCCAAATTTAGTAAAAACGTTTTTAACCTAAAACTCGCAGTTGAAGTTCTTTTTCCTCGATCTCAGTGTGCGTAAAGTTGATCATTTTTAATACGTGTGCGTGCGTGTAATTAGCTGCTACAAACCAACATCCAAGTAAGCTACCAATACTGTTGATTATGTAACACAGCGTGCTGTAAAAATTTCTGTAATGGCTACTTTTTTATTCCAAAAAAACACACACAACAAAAGTTCTCTCTATAGTCTTTCGAATGTACCTTCTTCATGCCGTTTTATCAATGTAGGATCTAAGCAAACCTCAACGGAAATGAACATAACCTACAAATATTGGTGTTACGATTTCTAGGTACAGCTCCTCCGCCGGAAAGCGCATTCCTAAAGGAGAGGAGAGTCTAGCTCGATTCTAACTTGTCTGCCACTGTGTTTATCAACAATCAGAAAATTTTGAAACCCGAACCAAATAAAAAGGGTTAACGGTGCAAGGACTGCTGCGATTCCTGATTTGGCTTGCGTTCAACACGTTCCAATGTTTTTGCCCCGGAAATTTTCATTTTGCTAAGACTTCCTTATTTTGGCTTTAAAAACTATAAATGGAAGTAACCCGCTGCCCCAGTTTGATTTTTTTGTTTCGCAAAGCAAAGGACATCTTTTAGCTGAAATCGGAAAAGACACGATACAAAAGACACCCGCCGCTACACACGAGCCACGTGATACCAGTTTCAGTTTGGATCGCGATTTCATTTTTTGTTTCTATTGTTTTCGGCGCCACCAAAATCACAATCCGAAAAGACAACACAAACACGAACCAACATCCAGAACAAATCAATTCAATTGTTTTAGTGCTTCAACTACCATGAAAATAATCGCTTTTTTTCCAAATGATACTCCCCACCACAACCACAACAACAACAACCACGTGCACACTGAATTCACTGAACTGAAATAAAAAACTACCAAAAAATACGCCAATATCAAACCAATCCACGTGTCATCTTTCAGAAGGATCCGACGAAGAGTATGGCATGCATCATCATGTCAGACAAATGCTAGGTAAGATCATTGACCACTATCATATGAATACGAGCAGTGAATTATAAATACATTCCATTGTCGGTATGATTTTGTGTTTGCCTATTGTTTTATAACTTTCCCCCTATATTTCGAATGTTTCTGATTGTAATTATATATATGGAGGGTGAAGAAGCGAATTTTTGTCATGTCTGTTTTGATATTTCACGAGATTTTCATTGAATGTAATATGACGCACCCACCTACTACACAAAATTTGCACTCCGTTAGTTAAAATGTTTTTTTGAATATAGTGGCATTCTTTCAGTGGGATATACCGTGGACCCCCGGTAATCTGACCGTTCCTAATCTGCACACTTTTTAGTTTGAACACCGCTGAATCTGTACGCCGTGCAAACTAAAAATTGCTCCAACGTCATCTAGCACATGGAACAGAGAAACGCGAAATGGAACGTTGCGAAACGGAACGCAGAATCAAAACAAAACATCAAATAAGGCTATCAGAAATTCGCTTTTCTGATGGTCGTAGAGTTACTAGAAGTTCAAATCAAAAATGAACCCCTTTAATATGCACACAGCGTCGTTCAGATTGACGGGGGTCCACGGTATAAGGTATATAGGTACGTACAAACGTTCATGATTTTGGAAGGAAGACCCATATTTTCTATCATAAGAAGCACGTGTTTTCTTTGTTTAAAAATTTTCATTTGGGACTTTGAAGAGTATCATGGAAAACAATCAAATTTTTCAAGATTCCTTTGGAAACTACTTAGGGAAGAAATTAAGACCCGAGGCTTTCCATATTAACCCTACAGTGCCCGCAAGGGAATCGTTTTAATTTAAAAAGTAGAAGGGTCTGTGCCTAGGGGCACGAACGGAAGCTTGACGTAGGACCGTTAGTGGACGGAATAAATGTGAAGAGCATCAAGTTCTTTTAATTGATCAATTATCTATTATCTCAACTCTTTCCGTTTTTGAATTGTAGGCGTACCAAATTTGTAGTAATCTTTTTCAAAGAGAAAGTTGATTACGAGAATCAATCAAAATCACTTGCACCCCTGCTTCCAAGTTTGTGTGGTCGTTGGGGGCTTGTGGTTCTGAATATGGACAAACAAGCACAGATAAATTCTATTCCAACTCTTTACTGATGTAAGCTTGATGGCCCTGAAAAGGGCCGTTTTATTGAAGAGGACATCCATGGCCACTTACGCTTGGCGTGTTTAGTGTAAGTGACAGCATCACGGACCTCATTTTCCAGAAACACCTTCAGCACACCTCGTAGATTAGACCGGAGATACGTCAGACACCGCCACGGCGCGCCAGACAACGGATGGTGGTTATCACGAAGAATTTGCGATGATGATTGGCACCTCCTTTGCCACAACCAGTCCATTGTTGCTTGTTATGTTATAGAAAAGTGGACTTACCACCTTCCTACTGCTGTTATTACTGTTCACCACGCCGTCCGAAGCGAAAATGAGCTAATGCCATTTTAGTTTTAGTTTTTTTTTTAGTTTAAATGATCTTTATTTTAGTTTAACTTGGACGATTACCATATAAATTTTTACTAAGTGATTTAATTGCTTTCTTCATCTTTAGGTATGGGCAAAATTTAAAATTTGTTTTACAGGATTAGTCCTAGACTTAGTACACGGTCGACCACCTTGGTGGGATTGGTTTGTTTTGTTTTTAGAATTTGAAGAGAAACTACTTAATACTACTATTTACAGCTTAAAACTAACCTACTCTACTATATACACTTAACCTACTATGTACAAATTGCTTATTAAAGCATGTTCAGAAAGATTGCATTTTTGAATAAATTTGGTTGTCATATCATCAATTTTGGAATCTACTTTGGGAATTTGTGCCTCTTGATGGAGGTCTGCTATTCTTGTGTCGAATGGACGATCTAGGATCATCCTCAACACTCTATTCTGTGCAACCTGGATTTTGTTCCTGTGGGTCTGAGCGCACGATTCCCACACCGGGGCGGCATAGAAGATCGCGGGGGCTATGATCTGTTTGTAAACAGCCAGTTTGTTTTGCCTTGAGAGGCGGGATCTGCGGCAAATGAGCGGATACAAACACCTAACCAAGGCGGAGCACTTAACTAGGGTTTTCTCTATGTGCGAGCGGAACAGGAGCTTCTCATCGAACAACATCCCGAGATAAGTAACATCAGTGGACCACTCGACCCTTGTACCATCCATTATTACGGTACAGGAGGGAGACGGTTTAAGTTTTAATGATTGTCTGTGAAGGAACATGATCGCTTGGGTTTTCGAGGCGCTGATTTTGATTTTCCACGTGGTGGCATAATCAGTAAAGGTGTCAAGGCATCTTTGGAGCTTGTTCGTAATTTCACGAGGCATCCTACCCTTGACGGCTATCGCGGTGTCATCTGCAAACAGAAAGAACACGCAACCGTCTCCTAGAGGAGGGATGTCCGACGTGTAGATGCTGTAAAGCAGTGGTCCCAGCAGACTCCCTTGCGGAACACCTGCTGGGATCGGAAATTGTCCCGAAAGGGAGAGCTAATGCCATACAGCAGCGCTCTTTTATATCTTTCCAGGTTAAAGCAGAATGATGTGCAACCAAGTGGTATAAAAGCTACAAAGACTCCTCCCATTATGAGTAGCTTGCTATCAAGTAGCGACACTGGCTATTTTCTTTTTGCATACACGGCGAATGAGAACGACCTAAATTTGAGTTTAGTTCACTCATAATCGCCAAAAGTGTAGGAACTCAGCGATGAGTAAATTTGTCTCATAGTTTCCTGTGGAAAAACCTAAAAAATCTGCTAGAAAATGAGGAAATTGACGAAAATTTTATTCAGTCTCGGAGTAGTGAATCCAATCTTTACTTTTCTCAAATTCGGGAATTTTTCCCTGGAAAATCCTGGAAAAACCTGGGAAAACATGAGGCAAATTTACTCATCGCTGAGTTCCTGTACTTTATTTCTTATTTCTGAGATAACTTGGGTTCGTCTCATTCGCCGTGATAGATATCGGCGCCGGTGGTTAGCGTGATTACCTCTCACCTGCTGGCCTGGGTCCAATCTCAGTCGGCGCCACCGGCATATTCTAAGGCATAACATCTCTGGGAACTGCCACCCTGGCGTCGGTAGCATTGGAGCTCAGTACGGAAAACAAATCTTGCGTCACTTTTCAATTGGTCCTATCTACATTGATCGATTCTCTTCATTGACACTCTCTTTCGTAAATAACTCGGCTTCACAAATGTTTCCTGCCGTCTTCGTCGAATTAGATGCTAGATGGTTGCTTCTTCAGTCGAAAATATCAAGCCGCGGCGATTCAAAGCTGATCAAGGTTGATCAACATAATTTGTACCCCTCCTTCCAGTTTGATTACATGAGCATTATGTGTGATCGTTGGTTCTGAATATGGACAAACAGGCAGATGAATTCTATTCCTACTCTTTACTGCACTTGGTGGCCCTGAAAAGAGCCGTTTTGTTGGCAAAGTTGGTGATGATTTAACCTCCGAAACCAAACAGAGTGCGTCTCTGTCACTTCAAAACGTAGATGACATCCATGGCCGCTTACGCTTGGCGTGTTTAGTGAAGGTGACAGCATCACGGATCTCATTTTTCAGGAACGCCTTCAACACACCTCGTAAATCAAACCGGAGATACGTCAGACACCGCCACGGCGAGCCAGACAACGGATGGTGGTTATCTTGAAGAATTTGCGTTTGGTTCTGAATATGGCGATGAGTGTGCAAAATATTACGCAATTCCATCCCCCTATTCGCACGTGCCCGAGGATCGGAGGCGAATGCCACTTCGACTTGTTTCGTCTACTTACTACTCTCTGACGACTGTGCTGGGGAAGCAGCATATGCATGTAGGTAATTGGTGGATTTGTTAGTTAATTCGACTCTTTGGGACAATGCTGGACATTTACCAGTTTTTCAATAGTTTCTTGTTGAAAATCAACATTCGGAAACATTGTTATCGATGCGTAGCCATATTAATGATTGATTGGTGATAAAATTATTGAAATTGGCTCAGGGGCAGCTGAGTTATTAACGTTAAAAATCTTTCTTAATTTGTTACATATTCCATTTCGGTTTTCACAAAGTGTACCCCCATATAGAAATCAAAGACGTAGTCCTACGTCAAAAGCAGCAAGTTTAACAGTTGTCATAAATGACATTAAGGTGCCTAACCTAAGTCAATTTGGTTCTAACTAGTTTTCAATTCGACAAGTAGACTTACTCAGATCGGGTTCTTCCGCTGCCGTTGCCGTTCTGCTTCCGCTGGCATTGCGCTTGGGCCTTTAAGGATTCTAGTGTGCTCACTCCGATGGCACAAAAGTCATCCAAGAACACTTTGCTTGAAGCTATTTTTTTTTTAGTTCTTTGGTTCGATTATACGTCAGGTATTGACAGCTGATGTAAACATTACGAAGTTTCAGCTTCGTTTATGCGTTGGAGAAAATGTATCAAGTGCTTGGCGTTTTCGATGGTTGTTTCGGTGTATGTCAGTGGTTTATAAGAAATAAGTGCATAAAAGCGAATTCACGGTGTCTTCAAGAACCAATGGCCGTGGTCATACCAACAATCAATACGAAACTAACGATTTTAAATTGGCTCACTACTTGACTAGCCAATTGGTCCCAAGCGAACGATTAACGTACCCCATTCTAGTCGAAATTCTACTACTACACAATGTTTGTTTTGATTCGCTATGAAAGTTTGACAGATAAAATGAGGGGTTAGTGAATTTTCCTATGTTTCGAGGGGTGAATCGATTAGCGTGGGACCGAAGAAAGTACCAGAGCTGAGCCAAAAAGTTGACCACGTTTCTTCGGGACCTACAAGTCTTAGAGTTACCTCTATGGTCATACTAGTACCAAACGGTGGAAACTAACGATTTTAAATTGGCTCACTACTTGTCTAGTCGATTGGTCCCAAGCAAATCGATTAGCGTACTCGTTTCTAGTCAAAATTCTAGTACTACACAATGTTTGTTTTGATTCGCTATGAAAGTTTGAC